CTGCCCACGGCAGGGGTGGAACTGGGTAACTTTAAGGTCCCTTCCAAGGCAGCCCGTTCCACGGGTCCCTGATTCCGTGATTAGGCTGCGTGCAGACGGAGCTGAGGCCGCTGCAGCCCCGGGGTGTGCCGGCTGTGCACGCCCGGGGTTCTTTCTCACGAGATGGTGCAAGAGCCGGGGGGGAACTGGTTAAACAGCGTGAGCTGCCGGGGCTTGGCAGGGCAGCGTGTCACCGGGGAGCCGGCGTGTTTCATTAAACACGCTATCAAAGTGGGCTAAAGTCTCTTATTAATGGCCACACATTTTGCCACTTCCAAATAGTTTCCACCTACATGTTCCTCCCACTGCCGCACTGGGTGCTGGCAAACATCGCAGCTCAAAGAGGGGAATGGCTTTCATTTGAATAGTCCTCGGGCGAGTTTCGCTGAGCGATGCCAGCGTCATTCCCGCAGCTCTCACGTGCCCGGCAGCGCTCCAGGGTCGTGCCGGAGGGAGGGCGCACAGACAACAGCTCCTGCTGTGTTTTCCCAGCGCTTTATCCAGGCAGAGCCCGTGGCAGCCTAAACCGGTGCAATTAAGCAGCGATGGATGCGCGTATTTGCAATGTTCAATCTCGGCTTCTGACTCGTGACGGTCCCACGGCAGCGAGCGCGGCCAGCTGCGCCATCGAGAGTCTCACACAGCTGAACCCAGCCGGCCTCACACCAAATCGGGCTTTTGCAACTCCCAGGAGGCTGAGGCGGAGCCCTGGTGGGTGTCAAGCTGCTCCTCACGCCCTGCGCTGAGGTCCCACGGCGTCCCTTGGGACCGGCCTTGGCTCAGGGGTGTGGGCTCTGCCACAGCCTCGGGCACGGGGCTGGGAAAGGAGAGGTGCGGCTCTCCTGGGAGCTGCTGCCTGGCCACATCCCCCCTGCCCGCACTCTGCAGGACCACTGCCCGCACATCCTCGGGGATGGAGGCGCTGCCCGTCCCCGCCGGAGCCTCCGCTCCGGCCCGGGAGCGCAGCGGAGCCGTCCCGTTTGCTGAGCACGGAGAGAGCCCCGCTCCAGCTCTGCCGGAGCCAGCCTGGCTCCCGCTGGGCTTTTCCTGCTGCGGAAAGCACGGGGTGTTCCTGCCGGGGCCGAGGATGCCGAGGCGGAGCGCATCCCGCTCCAGCCTCGGCGGGGCTGAGCTTTCACCTCCGGTGCCAGTAACCCGAGCCGGGATTGCTGGAAATGGGAGAGGGGAGAGTCAGCGATTTGATTACAGGCCACAGGCACATGCCTGGCCTTCATGGATATATTAAGTAAGAGACATTTTAAAACAAAACCACCCTCAGTAACCTTATCGTAAGCTCGAATCCACAACCCATCTGTTAACTCCCGGCGCTGCCCACATAGGCTTCCATCAGACAGCAGTGCCAGGGATTTTTGGAACGTTTTCCCCCAAATCCCTGCGGTCGGAAGGGGACAGTCCCGGGGAAGGGGCAGATCCTGAGTCTCGGATTCCCAGCCCACCCCCAAACCAGCCCCCAGACTCTCACCTTCTCGTGCCTCTGTAAATAGCTGCAAATCCCCTTGGACAGAGCTGTCGCGGTCCTGTGACTCCCAGCCCTGCTGGAGGAGTGCTCAGGAGAGCTGCTGCTCCACGGATGGCTTGAGGGAATTCAGCCTTTTTAAACATTTTGGTACTGCCTGAATCGTGTGGTGTAAAGGAGCCCTCCATGTAGAAATAATTCAGCAAACACAAGCGAGAAGGCGAATTGATGATTGCATCAGTCCTTGCTCATGAAAACTGATCCCCGGGAAAATGTAACTCAACTCTCGAGCAATCTCACTTGATGCCCAAGAATGCAATAACTTCATTTGGATCCTCCTTTTTAGGGGGACTCCTAAATCCTTGGCAACGTCCCTTAAGGTCATGAGCAAATCCTGATATGGAGAATTGTTTGGCAAGCACGAGAACAGTAAAAGGGCTAAATAATTGGGGATTACCTCTGACCCTGATTTGTGGCTCACCACCCACTGCAGGAATGTACCGAATATCTGAAGGAGCATGCAGGAGTCAGACAATCCACGGGCATGAAGCCGTCCACGTACTCTTGGAGCTTGAACTTCGAATGCAGAGCAGGTTGGCCCCAAACCTCATTTTTCATTAGCAAAAGGCTGTAGCAAGCTCTAATTATTTCTGTTGCCTTGGATGAAGGGTCAGTGATGGGACAGATGAAAAATTGCCTGTGTTTTTTTCACTCTTTGTTTGGAAAAGAACAGCTTTGGTCTTGGGGACACAGAGAGAGCAAACCCTCTGCTCCAGGGCTCGATACTGAGGCTGGTTTTGGTCCCCTGAGCTGCAGCAGGGGAGAAACCATCACCCTCATGTCCCCTGATGCTTCTTGCCGAGTTTGTTCAGTGCCTGCAGGAAAGAGCAGCTCTGCTGTGGGAGGTCACAGCTCTGCTGTGGTTCTGTGGCACTCCGAGCTCCGTGCTCAGTCCCAGCTCCTCTCCTGCACGGCGCCGGGGCTGTGGCACCACAGAGACCCTCAGGGTCCTGCCCATGGAGGGGGTTGGATTGAGAAGTCTTTAAGGTCCCTTCCAAGCCAAACCATTCTGGGATTCCATGATCTTGGCCATAATCACCGGGTTTGCAGGCTGGGATGTCAAACGCTGGGAGGACCATGTTGAGTGGGACAACCCAAACATCTGTTCTGTGGAAGCCCCACGTCACTGATCCAGTGCTGTGGTGTTCACACTGGAGGTGCTGCTGGGAGCTTGTAGGGGAGATTTGGGGGTTTTATAGACCTTGCATGTATGGCTAGCATCTTTCTGAGGCTCTGACTTCCCTTGGGATTCTTCCTGGTAACAACAGACACCTTTGGGCGGGGGTAAGCCTCAAACAGCCTGTCTCCATCACCCATCTAAAACCTCTCTGTGCTGTCATGTAGCACCTCCTGCCCTCGGATTCCTGCCAGGGTGGAGCAGCCAGAACTCTGCAGGCAGTAGCAGCAGCTCAGTGCTGGAGCTCTGCTGCTCCCTTATCTTGGTAAATGCACCTTTTATCAGCTAAGCCTGCCTCTACTTGCTCAGCACTCAGCAGGGAAGTGACCACGGCCCTCCAGCAGAGCTCTGCCTTGGCAGGTACACACAAACCATTGTCATCGCTCGGCGTTGTGCAACCGCTGGCGTCCAGGGGCTGGCACGGGCATGGCATGGCATGGCATGGAAGGGTCTGGGCTGGGGGGACCTTAAAGTTACCATCATCCACGCCCTGCCATGCACAGGGACACCTTCCACTAGACCAGGTTGCTCCATGCAACACTTCCAGGGATGGGGCAGCCACAGCTTCTCTGGGAACCTGTGCCAGCACATCCCCACCCTCACAGGGGAGAATTTCCTGCTGGTCAAAGAATCACAGAATGGTTTGGGTTGGAAGGGACGTAAAAGCCCACTTCGTTCCAGCCCCCTGCCATGGGCAGGGATGGATGCCTTCCACTGGAGCAAGTTGCTGCGAGCCCTGGATACCCCCAGCGATGGGGTCCTCCCACCCCAAAACTTCCCTGCAGCACTGCCACTTCCCCAGAGCCACATTTTAGCGACTCTCACTTTATTTCTTCCCCCACATTTCCAAACTTTCCGTGGCTGCAGCTTTCTCTGTGTCCGTGTTTTGTGTCTGTGTCTCTTTGGGGGTGTTTTGTTGTTTTTTTTTTTTTCCTTTATTTTTTTTTCTTTCTCCCCGATCTCGGGACACAACAGCGGTACAGCATGGTATGGCAGGGCACGGCATGGCACAGCATGGCACGGCATGGCATGGTATAGTATGGCACGGTATGGCAGTGTATGGCATGGTATGGCACAGCATGGTATGGCAGTGTATGGGATGGTATGGAGTGTATGGCATAGTATGGCACAGCATGGCATGGTATGGCATGGTATAGCACAGCATAGCATGGCACGGTATAGCACGGCATGGTATGGCATTGTATGGCACAGTATGGAGTGTATGGTATGGTGTGGTGTGGTGTGGTGTGGTATGGTATGGTATGGTATGGTATGGTATGGTATGGTATGGTATGGTATGGTATGACACGGTATGGCACAGCACATAAGGCAATATATGGCACGGTATGGCACAGCATGGCACGGTATAGCATGGTATAGCACACCGTAGTATGGCACGGTATAGCACGGCATGGTATGGCATTGTATGGCACAGTATGGAGTGTATGGTATGGTATGGTATGGTATGGTATGGTATGGTATGGTATGGTATGGTATGGTATGGTATGGTGTGGTATGGT